AAAGGAGAGAACTAGAGACTAAATGACAATGAAAAATCAATGTTTAAAGATAAACATATTAAAAGATCGGATAGCGGTTCATTTTATTTTTTCATCTTTCACCACTAAAAATGTGTGACCATAAAGAAAAGTTAAGGAAATCAAAAGGCTCAAACATTAACATAGGCAATATTTTCATAATTCTTCTGTAATCATTCCTTAAAAGGGGCTTTACAGATCTAAAACAGTCGGTACCTCCAGAAAGGGGCTTTATGACTCGACTGGCTCTCTAAAACCATTCCTTAAAAGGCAAGTTCTGTAGATGTATTTACCTGACAGTGTCGATATATCCGCTGTTCAGTTTCTTACAGTCTGTTGAAATAGAACAAGTATCAGTTAAGCATTTGAGGCGTGAATCATCAGTGAATAAGGAGCTGCTAATGTGCACCTTGGGACCACAATATAGCTGTTATTTACTCATTGGATAGTACTGAATTAATTCAATCAATTTCTTAATTTAACTTGTCTTCTGCTACAATATCAGTATCCCTTTTTATCATTTCTTCAACTTGGTATTAGAGTTTCAATGGCTAACACTGGATCCAATGATAATGCACAGTCAGCTCAATCATCAGCAAGCACACTGATACCAGCTTTAGTGCTTTTCCTTGCCATAGTTGGAAATTCAGGCAAGCAATCAAGCTCTAGTATCCTATTTCATCGTCTTTTCTAGCGCTTAATCTTTACTGTAATTTTTAAATTTTATCTTGCAGATGATGCACATTATTGCTTTTGTAATGATGGATTGAACGATGCGATTTACCAGAAGAACATTGACTATGCATGTGGAGCCGGCGCATATTATATTCCAATTATGCAAAATGGCCCCTGTTTTCAGCCAAATACCGTGAAGAATCACTGCAATTTTGGATGAGCTAAATTTGAATTTTTTTTTGTTGTAAATGGGACCCTCAAGTCAATTTTGAGAAAGGTACGTAGGTAGGAATCTAGATGACCATTTTTACTTCCATTAAGTTGACGTCGTGTAGGACCACTCCCACGTGGCCGCCGTGTACATAAAAAGGTATGGGAGATTTTCACAAATGTCAC